TTAAAAAAATTACTTATATCTTGAATCAATAAAACTAAGAAAGAAATCCAGGGAGATCAAGTCACTAAAATACGTATATGATTAAAGACAAATTATGCCATCAAATAACAATATAATAAACATATGACAAAATTCAATCAAACAAAGGATCAAGTAATGATAATGAAAGCATGGACTTAGGAATTCTTTCTTGAATAGGTTCAGTTAGAACATCTAGAACAATGTTGAACAAGTACAGACTCAGAGAGGATTCCTGATGTAGGCCAATCTTAATAGGGAAGTCCTTTGTCTCCTCCCAGGCGTCCTTACACTGGTAGTTACTGCCTCATACATATCTTATATGGCTTTGGTATAAGCAACCCGTGTTAGATACGATTAGTTTTGATGATGTCAAATAATAGAGCAAAAATTTTACATAAATTATTTATCTCATATTTTGACTAACTATCATACTTACTATCTTGTGTAGTTTCCTCAAGAAAAGAAAGGAATTTTATGTTGCACTTTGAGTTATGGAGAATGATGAAGAGGAGGAAGAAGAAGAGAAATTGAGAAAAGAAGAACTTGCAAGATCAAATGAAAATATCAAGATTCAAGTTCATAGATTTGATGTTAAATATTGCTATACTCAATCAGAAGTTTGAATGGGTCAGTCGGAAGCTAAAATATACAACCGGGAAGTTATACCATCATATATTGAGTCACCCTTCATATAAACATAGAAAATAAGCTTCAGAGGTGATTTTCATGGGCAATTATCGATCACTTGATCGATCATCCATTTATCGATCAAGTTATCGATAAAATATATCCTCTGTTATGCTCTGTTCTTCGTTCAGCTCTAACATAGGTTCGGTATTTCTTCAATATCTCTCAAATCACAAATCCGTTTGAGGTGAAACTTGATTCCTATGAAACTAGACTCAGAACATGGTTCATGGACACCGAATTCACCTTCAAAGAGTTTCATATGAGGGAGATATGTTGTTCGAAAGATTGCAGTAAGGATTAACGCCTTTATTCCAACCTTTAGTCATTGTGATGAATATAACTTTGCAACCACGACGAATTTTGGGTTGATTCTTGTTGCATTAGAAAGTAGACTCAAAGAGCTTTCTGGGGATAGGTCATTTGCAAAATTTGGAGCTGAATTGAAAGATTTATGATCACTCAAAATTGACCTTCGTTTTGCTGGAATCAGACTTCGAATTTATTGAGGCAAAGACCAGAAATTCTACACTTAACAATTAACTTCTCAAGCAACATGCTACTCAAACATGTTATTGAGTAAAAGCTCTAGAAGAGATGAAGAAATGAAAAGCCATTATCATATGTTACTCGAGCCTGATCAAGCGACTACAAACTCATCGAGTTACTGGTACTATCTCCTCAATTCTTCTCTTTTATCTTCATACATATTATTAAGGTTTTATCAGTAACATGTTGGATAAATGATTTTTGGATAACGTTATAGATGAATATCTTTATCGATCACTTGATCGATAACTATCAAGTCTTATCGATCACGTGATAGATAATTTAGTCTGCTCAATAACTTGCTAGATTGATCGATCAACTAATCGATCATTGGTATAGCTGCTTAATATAAGATGTTGCAGGAAATAATCGATCACTTAATCAATCAGACCTTTATCGATAACTTGTTTGAATATTATATGTCTTCTTACTCGATATAGTGCTCTGTCAAAACCATTCGTTCAAAATCTTTTATCGATCAATTGATCGATCAAACATTTATCGATCAAATGATCGATTATTATCTTCACTGCATTAACTTATGTTGAATCATTTTTTCGATCACTTAATCGATCATTGATTTATCGATAAAATGATCGATCATTCAATTTCCTGAAACTCCTGTTTTCACATAACGTGATCGATAATCAGTTTCTTTACCTTACAGGATTAAATCTCTGTTTTTCATTTTATCGATCACTTGATCGAATATTCATTGATCGATCACCTGTTCGATTAATCCACATAGTCTGTGTTTTTCGCTAAATATATTGTTACTCATTGTTTATCGATAACCTTATCCATCATCCATTTATCGATAATGCGTTCGATCATCAATGACTGAAGTTTCATTTCTGTAACACTTGGATTATCGATAATCTGTTCGATCAACAAGTGTTCGATCACTTGTTCGATCATGGAACGTTTTCCGTTTAAACATCAGTCGACTATGATGATTCTTAAAATCAATGATCTATTTTCTTTCAAGCTTTTCTTTTTTACACATAACTCTCTATTAAAAGGATACGAAGGCAAACGTAACTTGAAAAGGTTCATTCTTGCATAAATCATTTTTGGGTCACTGTATTCATGCTTCATCATTTATCGATCATTTGTTCGATCATCATATGATCCATAATCTATTCGATAATTGCATCTATCTGCTATATCTTTTCTTCATGTAATTAATCGATAATATAATCGATCAAAGCTTTATCGATCAAGACATCAATCAAATACTTATCACTTGATCTGAAGAAGATTATTTCAGATAAAGAGCCACAACGAATTAATGATGTGAAGAATCAACGTTCGTCAGAAGCTTCCAACGGCTAGTTTCAACGGTCATATTCTTCAAGCCAAACGGGAAGAAAAAGCTCAACGGTCAACTACCCAACATCATCTATAAATAGAAGAGCATTCAAAACAAGAAAAAAAATAGAAGAGCCTGAGCTTACAACATCAAATGCTAAAATGCTAAATCAACATATTCTCATTTAGAGGTCCGAGAGAAAACTCCCTGTCTCTGTACTTCATAGACTAAAACATATGTATTCGTGAGATAGAGAGGAGAGTTTCCCAAACGTGCTTAAGATTCATCTATCACTTCTTTGAGAGAAGAAATATTCAATCTTCATTATCCTTATCAGATTGTATCCTTACGGTGAGTAAAGGGGAGTATTTACCTCGGTGTGAGGTTACTGCTGAATAGACTGGTTAGTGTAAGAATTGTAAGTGGTGTCACAAGTGCCCGGATCAAACTTGTGATTGTAGTGGTTCTCAAGTACCCGTGTTAAACTTGAGGGAGATAGTCGATTGAAAATCTCAAGGGGAGCCTAGGGACTGGACGTAGGTCAGTGAGGACCGAACCAGGATAAATCTCTGTTTGCATCTTCTCTTCCCTTACCTCTTTATATTTCCAGCTAAACTATTTTACTACTGTGATTATGCTTATCTCGATTCATTGTTTTTTATACTCAGAATTTCTTATGAATTTCATTACATTGCGAAAAGATTTTTAATTTTAATCAACACCCAATTCACCCCCTCTTGGGTGTTCAGCCATTCCAACAACCCGTACACCTTTCTTTTCCAAAGCCTTCCATAACACTTCTCTTGACACACGATCATAAGCCTTTTCCAGGTCAATAAAAACCATATGTAAATATCTTCTTTTACTTCTATATCTTTCCATTAACCCCCTTAGTAAATAGATTGCTTCCGATGTGAATCTCCCTGGCATAAATCCAAATTGGTTTTCCGAAATAGAAGTCTCCAACCTTAACCTATATTCCATCACTTTTTCCCACAACTTCATTGTATGACTCATAAGTTTTTTCCCTCTGTAGCTTGCACAGTTTTGAATGTGTCATTTATTCTTGTAAATAGGAACTAAAATGCTTCTCTTCCAATCATCCGGCATATTCTTAAAGTGTAGAATTTCATTAAAAAGCTTGGTTAGCCACACCTCACCCTCATCGCCCAAACATTTCCAAACTTTAATAGGGATACCATCAGGCCCAACGGCTTTTTCATTGTCCATTTTCTTGAGAGCTGCCTTAACCTCTCCGATACATATCCTGCAGTAGAAAGCCAAATTTCAATCATCTTTGTTAATTAGCAAGTCCTGCAAGTCCTGAGTCGCATGATTGCTTCCCTCATTAAACAACTTGTAAAAGTAAGCCTCCCATCTGTCTTTAATATCACCATCAGTAACTAACACTTTACCATCTTCGTCCTTTATACACTTTACTTGGTCCAGATCTCTCTTTTTCCTCTCCCTTTGTTTTGCAATCTTGTAGATATTTCTTTCTCCCGTCTTTGTTCCTAACTCCTAATAAAACCCTTTATAAGCTTTAGTACGTGCTTTGCTCACTGCTCTCTTTGTCTCTTTTTTAGCCAATTGATACTTTTTCCGGTTTTCTACACTATTGCACAAGTGTATGGCCTTAAAACAATCTTTTTTCTGTTTGACTTTCTCTTGCACACTCTTATTCCACCACCAAGTCTCCTTATCTCTTTGACCAGGACCTTTGGATTCTCCCAAAATTGCTTTAACTACCAAACGAACCCTTGTAGCTATCTCTTCCCACATCATGTTTGCATTTCCCTGCAACTCCCAAATCCCTTCCTTCAAAAGAGTCCTTTTGAATAACTCCCGCTTTTCACCTTTTAACTGTCACCACTTAATCCTGGGTTTTATCACTTGATGGTACTTTTGCCTGGTACTCTTAAAACGTACATCAAGGATAAGTACTCTAAGTTGGGCAGTCACCCCGTCTCCTGGAATCACGTTGCAATTAGTACACAATCTTCTGTCCAGATTCTTAACTAAAAAGAAATCAATCTGTGATTTTGATACCCCATTTTTGTACGTGATTAAATGCTCCTCTCACTTCTTAAAACAAGTGTTGACAATCTTAAGATCGTATGCAAGAGAGAAATCAAGAATAGATTGTCCTCCACTATTAAGCTTCCCAAAACCAAAACCACCATAGGCCTCGCTGAATTGTCTTGCTTCCTTACCAACATGTCCATTAAGGTCCCCACTGATAAAAAATTTTTTTTCGAGTGGTATGCTTTGAACCAACCCCTCCATATCTTCCCAAATCTTATTTTTAAGGTGTGTCTCTGCTCCAACCTGAGGTGCATAGGCACTAATGATATTGATAGTATCCTTTCCAACAATTACTCTTAACGATATTATTTTATCCTCAAACCTTTTAACCTCTACCATGTTTTTTTTTCCATGTTCCATCAATGATGATACCAACCCCATTCCTTGCGCTCACCTTTCCTGTGTACCAAAGTTTATACTCTCCAAGTTCCTTGGAAGCTTCTCCAGTCCATTTGGTTTCTTGGAGGCATAAAATATTAATCCTTTTGTCCCTCATAACCCTTGCTACTTCCATAGATTTCTCATTTAACGTCCTAATATTCCAAGTGCCAAATCTAATCTCAGTCTCATGAACTAACTTCTTTAGCCGCCTCCGTCCAAGAGAGTGCGGTAACCCTCGCTCATTTAACACTACATCCGGACAACGATGCAGCGGCTCTAGCTCATTTCTCACTGTACTCGAGCCATACAGCGCGTCACTTCTGGGCAACAACCTAACATTAGCATAAATACTTCGTTAATCCATGTTCATGAGATTCGACAGTTTTTTACGTTGACTGTTGAGGGCCTAACACAACCCTCATCCTTTATCCGGGCTTGGGACTAGCTATACAATATAGGTGGAGTTGATCATATGACTTGTACAATTTATATAAAATATAAAAGTCTTTATAATTCATGTTATCTAAAGATCCCTTTTTGATGAATTCATTTTATAAGAGTAACTGGGAAATTCAATTGAGTCTTAATAGTCCCATGTCGTAATAACCCAAAACATTTAGAGCGACAATAAAAATATAGGGAACAAACAATGATTAACTGGGAAATTAGGAGGCGTTTGAATGAAAGCTTTTGGAGAATAGATTTTGTGAAGAGGTGATTATGATAAAATAAGAGTGTTTGAATAGTTATTATCAGAAACACTTTTTATATATACAAATTATTAAAAAGAGCATAAATTAACATGATAAGATAGATTTTATAATATATTTTAATTTAAAGGAATAAAATTGTTAATAATATATTTTTTATGAATATAATTGATAATATATAAGATAATGTAATTAATAAATAATTAATATGCATATATATATTTATAAAATATAAGATTAAATATGTTTATAAAAAAATAATTGAGGGGTGTTAAAGTTATATTACCGTTGGGATTTATTTTGACAGGCACAACGATACTTTCCAATTTGAACTAGAAGCATAATGGATTCACTTCTTCTAAAACCATGATTTTAAGCCCAAAATCATGATTTTAACTCAAAACTGTAGTTTGTCTATTTGTCCTCCTATTTAGCAAATTTCTAACCCAAATCATGGTTTGGGCATTTTGCCAAACAGGCCCTAATTTATTTTAGCATAACCATGGAACTTGAAAATGCGCAACGATTTTTAAATAACAACTTTAAGTTTTTAATAAATATTGCTCCTTTAATATTAAAAACAAATTGCGATGAAAAAATACTTTGTTCTGCTTTCGTTATTTTCCGGGAAAGCATGGTAGATAATTAATACTATTTTTAATTCTTAATACTTTTTCCAATTTTAAATATAAAACTTTTTTGTAGTGTAATTTACATTAAAAAAGAGTACTATATTCAGGACTGGAGGAGTATAACAATTAGTTGAATAATTTAAGTAGATTAAGAAAGTTTATTTAGTTAGTTATTTATAATAAATATATATCATCTTTCCTAAAATATCTTTACTAATCAAATATATTAGTTAGAAATATTATTATTATAAAAATTATTTTAAAAAATAAATAAATATATAAATTAAAATCTTATATTTAAAATAAAAATAAAAATCACACGAACATAAAATTATTGGTTGGTTGGTTAGTCTCTTTCGTGAAAGGACGAGGAAGTTAGTGCGAGTGGCCCACCATATTGAAGAATACATCTACTTTTTATCTTCCTTTGCGTTGTGTTTATCCTTTTGTGCTTTTAATTGTTTGGTCTCTCTCTTTCCACACCCCAAAACACTTCCAGATACCAAACATCTCCTTATCAAGGTTATGACTTGATATTTTGTTTACGAATGCATTAAAGTATACTTGCTCCATCGACCAAAACGTTGATTAAAACTAGTTAAAAACAATAAATATTTAAGCAATGTAAAATGAGTAGAAAGAATAAAAGAAACATTCCATTAATTGGGGATAAAAACTTTTTTTTTAAAAAAAAGTGTGTTAAATTTTTAGACAAACACGAAATATTACTTAATGCTTGTACATAGGACTATCCATACAAAGAATTGAAATGAGTATTGCATTATATAAGACCATTATCTAACATTTTGCCCCAAAAAAACATAGAATTCTAATTTATAGGAAATTAGTTTAGAATTTTGAAATCCTCCATGATAAATACTCATTTCAATGCTAAATATATGAATTAGTTGAGAAGTTTGCTCTAATATTTTTTTTATGAAAAGAAGTTTGCTCTAATATTAAATGTAAAACTCCAAATCATTTTACTTTTCAAAATTTATAATTCTTCCTATTGATTTTACGTACCAAATTGCAGCTGATCAATGCCCATGTCAAGATGATCCTCTTAATAGTCAGATCAGGCAAATTCCCCCACTTCTTGGCATATGATTCGACTATTACTTTTAGGGTATTTGGGTAACATTAAAAAGAATTTAAAAAATATTTTTTTATAAATCGAGATAAATTCTTTCACATATTTACGTCATATGTTATAAAAATATTTTTAAAATTATCCTTCTGAACACCCTTTTAATCTCATATCAAAAGAAACCAATCGTTGTGCCAATTCTTTAGCTTCGTCCTACGAAGTATAAAGGCACGTCCTTAAAAAATTTCAATTATAAAACTTTTTTCAGTTAGTTCTGTGTACATTTTCTTACTTTTTTTTTTAATAAAAAAGAATACACTACTCGAGTGGCCAAATTAGGTGGATAGATATTAAAGGTGTTTGCCTAACTCTAAAAATATTTTTGAAAATCACTTTTTCACAAATCAAAATAAATTTCTCTACAGATTTATTTTATATATTATAAAAATATTTTTAAACTTATAATTTTATATTTACCCAAACACTTTTAAGATTTGAAAAAAAAGAGGGAGAGATTGGACTGCCTAGTTAAAGGCACAATGAATAATTGAATACATGTGAACGAACAGGTGCACATGGGTGAGGGACAATTCTGAGAAGTGACAATGAGACAGGGCAAAGTAAAAGCAGGAAAAGGTGCACTGCAATTATAAAGATGCTGCAGTGCATGAACCACCATATTCAAAAAGAAAACGAATAGAGGAAAAAAAAATCTAAAAAAATGACTGAATTTTAAAATTTTAAATAAAAAAATTATTATAAAAATATATTTTCTAATGTAGTGATCAATATTTAAAATTTTAAAATTCAACGCTTATTTTTTTAAGGATTTTCCCAAACAAAAATAAGCATCGGAGTAGAAATGGTGGAAGGAGAATGAGAATGAAATTCGCCGAATTCTCACGCTAACTTTTATCTTTATATATGGGAAAAAAAAAGAGAAAACAAAACTCATTTTCCTTCATCTTTCATTTTTTTATATTATAATTTTAATATTTATTGATAACATTGAATAATATATAATTTATTTATTTTCTTCTGTTATATCTACCTTTAAAAAATTATTCACTTTTTTATTTTACAATGAAAAGTAATATTTTTCTCTAAATTATCTGGTAATAGGAAAATATATCTTTATAAAATAATTTGATTTTAAATTATTTAATGATACTAATATTAATATAAGATTTAGTTGACTAATTTGAATAAATTAAAAAAATTAGTTAAGTTACTTATTTGTAATAAATAACTGTTGTGTTATTTTTGCTAAATTATCCTTACCGATTAAGTGTATTAATTAGAACTATAATTACTACAAGGACTACCTTAAAAAAATAGATAAATATAAAAAATAAAATAGATTGAGACTTTATATTTAAATCAAAATTAAAATTAAAAAAACTCTTATATTAAGGATTGGAGGTAATATAATTTTTCCATTGTGGTATTTAAATTAATTTTAAACATGATATATTTTTACATAAAAAAATTATTTTGATCATTCAAATATTTATTCATTTCTTTTTTCCTATATTTTCTTGTCCATCCAAATATGATAACATTTTTTTAAAATTTTTTCTTCATTCCATTATCTGTCCTCTTATTTTCTTTTTCATCCAAATGGAACATAAAATTGATCTAGCATTTTAAAATATTCTTTCAAGTGTGTCAATGTCTTAAATTATTTTTTCAATAGCATTCAACACTTTAAAAATAATTTGTGATGTAATTATATTCTTAAAGTACTAATTTTTTAAGAACAATTATACCTTTAAACTATTTTTTAGGAGTAATTTTAATGTCCTCATCTTCTCATAAAGTCCATTAAATAAATATAAATAAAATATCTGAAAATATTTTTAAATATTTTTCAGGACAAAAAGGTACTCTCGAGCGGTCGCTTTCGGGTACGTGCATGGTGCATTTTACATAGACCGGGCGGTGGATGCCAGCTATCACAGAAATGAGGCCTGGAAAGTTGTTCAACGGTCAATAGAAAACCAAAGATGTACATGAATGACAATAAAAAAATATTTTTATTTTACCTTTATTCCCTCTGATCTCTTATACAAGTTATGAATTGGTCCTTTTTATAATATAAATATATATATTTGGTACTTGTTTAAAAAATTAATTCACTATTTTTCTTCATTTGTACTCTCAAATACTGGTATGTTTCTCCGGTGCTTTTTTTTCCCAATCATTTTCTTTATTTGGGGGAAAAAGAACATTTCTTGCAAATTTATTATTCTTAACAAACATTTTAATCTACATAGTTCGCTTATTTATAATTTGTATATGGTATAGAAGGGAGTATTGACAAAAAATTCAATGAAATAATTACTATAATGGTAATATTGATTAGGTTATGCAAAGTTAGCTTTTTGGCTTAGAAAAAAGTTAAACGTATTATATTGGCTTTTGTGCTTTTATTTCTTCCTAATTTTAAGAGGAAAACTTTAAATACTTATTATATAATTTTTTTTAAAATAAAAAAACAGCTAATAAATTATAATAAAATAAAAAGGTTTCTTGTATCTATTTAAAATTCATTTCATATATATTCATTATTTCATTTAAAACTATTAATATTAATGTAAAATATAAATATATTAATTTTTATTTAATCAGTTTGTGCTGTGTTCCTCCCCCCCGGGGGGGCGGGTATTTCAAGTTTTCACATTCCCTGTACCAAAACAACTGGGAAATTTGATATTTAGGACAATCTAAGGCACGTAAACAATGTTAAGACATCAAAATGTGAAAATAATGAAAAATGAAGATTATAGGAAAACGAGTGATTGTTTTGGGCAGACTCTTCCACGAAAGAACAGAGATGTTGCTGTGCATGGCCTACCATATTGGCAATAGTACAATACGCGTTCTTCTTGTCTTCCTAGCAATTACCCTCCTTTATCTTTTTTCAAGAAATATATGGGATTCAAATTATTAATCATATCTCTTCCTGCATATTTCTCTGAATCTTCCGAGGCACAAAGAAACCAAATGTCAACCAGCTTCCTCTTTTAAGTGTTATCTCGAATCAATCTAAACCAGCTCCACTCTGTATTATCGCTTCCTATCAAACTCTTTTCATTCTCAATCGTCTCGTCCATCATCTACAGTAATACCTTTGAGTTACCAGACAGAACAAGACATGGAGTTCGCCGCCAAGGTGGGAGAAGCACTGATCTCTGCTTCTGTGCAGACCTTACTCGACCGGATCTCCTCAAGCGAGTTTCGAGAGTTCATGAAAAGTAGAAAGCTCGATGTCTCTCTCTTGGATCAGCTGGAGACAACTCTGTTGATGCTTGGTGCTGTGCTCAATGATGCGGAAGAGAAGCAGATCACGAATGATGCAGTCAAGAAATGGCTCGAAAAGTTGAAAGATGCTGTCTATGATGCAGAGGATTTACTCGATGAAATCAACACCGAGTCTCTCAGATGCAAGGTGGAGAAAGATTCTCAAAATTTTGTTAACAAGGTGCACTCTTTCCTTTCTTCTTCTTTTGGTCAATTTAACCGAGAGATGAACTCCAAGCTAGAAACAACATCCCGAAGGCTTGAACACTTTGCCAAACAAAAGGATATCCTTGATTTGCAAAGTGTTAGCTTGAAAGCGCATAAAACAGCTTCGACATCATTGGTAAATGAATCTGTTGTGGTTGGTAGAGAGGATGATAAGGAGAAACTATTGAAAATGCTTCTGTGTGATGAAGATCCAAAAGGTAACGCTATAGGAGTGATCACTATCTGGGGTATGGGTGGCCTCGGTAAAACCACCCTTGCTCAACTCCTTTACAATGACAAGAAGGTGCAAGAGCATTTTGATTTGAAAGCTTGGGCATGTGTTTCAGATGATTTTAATGCTGTCGCGGTGACTAAGAATCTCGTTGAGTCCGTCACTAAAAAAGTCTACGATGGTAAAAATCTAGATGTCCTTCGTGTTGAATTAAGAAACAGTTTGAGCAATAACAAGTTTTTGATTGTGTTGGACGACTTATGGAATGAAAAATACAGTGATTGGGATGATCTCATAACTCCTTTTCATAGCGGAAGAACAGGAAGCAAAATCATTGTGACAACTCGTGAACCAAGAGTTGTTCAAATCACACATACATTTCCCGTACATGAATTGAGTCGTCTTTCAGATGATAACTGTTGGTTTTTACTCTCCAAGCATGCATTTGGAAATGAAGATCCAAACAAACATCCAGAGCTAGAAACAATTGGAAGGCAAATTGCGAGAAAATGTGGTGGTCTCCCAATTGCTGCTAAAACAATAGGAGGTCTTTTGCGTTCAAAAGTGGATGCAAAGGAATGGAATAAAATTCTGAATAGCAAGCAGTGGGAGATACTAAATGCTAATGTTCTTCCTGCTCTGCGGTTGAGTTATCTCTATCTTCCATCACATTTGAAAAAATGTTTTGCTTATTGCTCCATTTTTCCAAAAGATCTTGTGTTGGAGAAAAAGAAATTGGTATTGTTATGGATGGCTGAAGGTGTTGTGCAACAATTCCATGGGGAGGAGACATTAGAGGCAGAAGTAGAAGATTATTTCAATGAATTACTATCACGGTCATTCTTTCAACAGTATGGTAGTAATCCAAAAAAGTTTGTCATGCACGATCTCATCAATGATTTAGCCAAATTTGTAGCTGGCAAGAATTATGTTCAATTTGAGGAAAATGATGTCCCAAAATCTGCACGACATCTATTGTTTTCCCAAAAAACATATAACAGCTATAAAGAATGTGAGAGCTTTTGCCATCTAAACTATTTGAGGACTCTTTTGACACAAGATGAATTTAGAGATTGGCATCTATCATGTGTTTTGTCCAAAAAGTTGCTCAATGGTTTGTTGACAAAACTAAAATGCCTAAGAGCATTGTCCTTATCAGGGTACGTAAATGTCGTTGAGGTACCAATTTCAATTGGTAATTTGCAACTTCTGAGGTATCTCAACCTTTCCTATACTTCAATCAAAAGGTTGCCTGATGCAGTCTTTACCCTTTACAATTTGCAGACGTTGCTTTTATCAAATTGTCAGTATTTTAATGAATTACCAGAGAAGGTAGAAAAGCTTGTTAATTTACGTCATCTAGACATTAGTGCAACTGCTTTAAAAGAGATGCCCACACAAGTTGCAAAACTACAAAATCTTCAAAATTTGAGTACCTTTATCGTGGGCAAGCAGCCGGATGGATTGACAATTAAAGAGTTGAAAAGGCTACCTCATCTGCAAGGTAAACTTTCCATTTCAAATCTACAAAATGTTGTTGATTCTACGGATGCTTTGGAGGCAAACTTGAAGAATAGAGAAAAGATTGCGGAGTTAGTGTTGGAATGGGATTGCGATGCTTCAGATTCACAAACTGTGAAAAATGTACTCAACATGTTGCAACCTTCTACAAATTTAAAGATATTGACCATCAACCATTATGGAGGCACTAGCTTCCCTGGTTGGATGGGAGATTCATCATTTATAAATATCACCAATTTATGTGTGAGTGATTGCAGTAATTGTGTTTTGCTCCCACAATTTGGAGAACTACCTTCTCTCAAAGAGCTCTCGATTGGTGGAATGGGATCAGTGCATACTGTTGGACATGAATTCTATTGTAGCAAGCCCGAGTACTCTTCATTTCAGCCATTTCCATCCTTGGATATTCTCATATTTGAAAATATGCCTATTTGGGAGGAATGGATGTTGTTTGACGGTGAAGGTGCCAAATTTCCTTTCCCTCGACTCAAAAGTTTGAGTTTGCATGATTGTCCCATGCTACGAGGAGACATGCCCCACAACCTTCCATCATTGACAAATATTTATATATCAAACTGCAAACAATTGAAGGCAAAATCAGCAACTTTGCAGTGGATTACATCTATTCAAAAATTAAACATTGTGCGAGGTGAACGGGGGTTATTGAGAGCACTTGATGATTTATCTGCGGACTCTTTGGAATCTCTAACAATTGAGAAGTGTGATAGCTTGCGGTCTTTGCCAAGAATGATAATGGGTGGTCGTTGTCTTCAAAAGTTGTTTCTCGTAAATATCCCATCGACATGTCCTTCCCAGTTGATGGTTTGCCCACATCTCTACGACATCTTGAAATTGAATTGTGAGAAATTAGAGTTCCTTCCTCAGGATTCTTGGCAAAACTACACATCACTTGAAGACTTGAGAATTGATAATAGTTGTCCTTCCTTGAAATCTTTTCCATTAGGTTGTTTTCCCAAGCTTAAAGGCTTGACATTGCAGATGTCATAATTTGGAGACCTTTACACATGTTGGGGGGTCTGCTCTTGCCTTAGAATCATTTGGGTCCTAACTGTGACAAACTTATATCAATGTCAGAAGTACACGTTGATTCCCTTGCCAACCTTCAATACTTTGTCTAAGTTGGTTCCAAGTTGGAATCATTGCCTGAAGGTGGTTTGCCTTCTAACTTGCGATCATTTACTATTGGGGGCTATAATGAACTATCTTCTATACCAATCCAAGACTGGGGGTTTCAACGCCTGACTTCTCTCTCATGTTTCAGTTTCGGGTGATGGAAGTGAAAGTATTCTCCATAATTTACTAAAGAATCAATTACTACCACTTCTCTTGTGAGTATCACATCAACTCTTTCCAATCTTAAATTGTTAGAAGGAAAGGGCTTCAACACCTTACTTCTCTTGAAGAGCTCTCCATCTATGGCTGTGAGAACCTTGAATCATTGCCAGAAGATGCGCTACCATCCTCTCTTTTGTTGCGGAATCTGACTGTCCAAAATTAGAAGAAGATATGATTATGAGAGAGGGAACACTTGTCCAAGATCGCTCATATTCCCACCATACGAATCAATGGAGAATACTATGATCCATGAGATGGTGCATTATATTGCTTCAAAAGGTGAGCTCTCAAATTTCACAACATTTCATCATTTTAGTATCTATTAATATGTATACTTTTTTTCCTTTTTCTTTTCACAACCCACATATGATATATTCCCTTCGTGATCATCGAATAGATACCAACATTTTATGGGTACATCTTGCCTATGCCCCACGTGCGCGCGCACATTCAATTTTTCTTTTCTGAAATATTTGTTTGAAAGGGGGGAGGGGACTGAGTCTTGTAAAACATTCTATTCAATTTTTCTTTTTCGTACAAAGAACATAATATTTTTATAACCAAAAAAAAGAGTTTGTTACTCTCAATTTCGGCAAAATATATTAATATCGCATCAGATTTTTAATAAATAAAATTGAAACAATATTTTTCCATTACCACATATGAGCATATGTTCGGTTACGAATTGATTTCCATTTCGTGTTACTTCTTCACATTTGCCAGATTCTGAAGCTTTTGGCAGAGTTGAAACTCCAACTGGGAGTTGATTCATCATGAGAAGTTCATGTGAGTATCAACTTTTTTTTTTTTGCCTTAAACAATCGCCATTTTGAAATATAATGTAATTTTGTTAAGGTGATGGTTCTCATTTTTTTGTGTTAAATATTCGTTAAGCCTTCTTGTAATTTGTCCTTGAGGGTTTTATGGCATCACCGTCTCAAGATTGGTATTCCAAGGTATAGGATTAGATAGCCTGGTCTGTATGAGGCTCATTGCCTGTTAGAGAAATTTGCTAACTTCAATGATTTTAATTTAATATGGTCCTCATATGAAGCTTTGAGTGACAGAAAATATCTTATTTTTATATTCACAAATGACTCGAAAAGCACAAAACTAAAATTTGACTGACATTTTTTCCTTGGATGTTGCTTTTTCTTTTTCCTTTTCTTTCCAGTGACTTGATCTACAATTGCATAAGCAGAAACTTATTGGCTTTCAATAAGCAGAGCAATGGCCAGATGTTTCTTGAAGATGGCAAATCTTAGGTAATGCATTTTGTTAAACTAACTACTTTTTAATTATTGAGATTGAAAGCATATTCATATGCTGTAGAATTTAATCTAATAGTAGTATTTTGTTTTAATGAATCATGTCGAAATAGGTGAGGGAACTAGGTGAATTGCTCTGTTTTGAAGAAAACAGTTATATGAGAAGTAAGGAAGGCAGGTAATTCAAGAGTTAAAGGAAAAAATTATCAATGGTCCCGATTTCTATGTGTTACCCAAAAAAAAAAAAAAAAAGCATTTCTTTGTTTCTCATTTCAATCATTTTATAAGTTGGACACAAATTTGATTTCTGGTGCAGTGCTTCTCCAGGTTTCAACATTAGGGGAAGAATTGAATTTCCTCCTCAATTGCTATTTTACTTCAGCAATAATAGGACAACAAATCAAGGTGTGATATCTAGATTTGGTATTAGTAGATACTTAGCTCAATTTGTTGAGATTAGCGTCTTAATTCACACTCTTTGATTTACCTGGACATCACTTTTGTTGAATAACTAGCCACTTGCAGTTTTTTTTTTGCTCATTTTAGTATATTACGATAGTTTCTTAAAATTAATATGATATTTTGTTTGCATAAATCAGGTCAGAAAATGGATGTGCAGTGATTATGTTGAATATTTTTGACAAACACCTTCCAATTTTGGAATTTGAAGGTAAATGATCAGATTTGGACTACATGAGTCTCATTGTTTAGTTTACTAATTTCAATGTGTTAAGAATCAAATCTTTGACTGCTAGCCAATCAATTATTAGTTTTGATAATAAAAAATACTCTTCAAATTATTTCAAATGGAATTGATAAAATGGATCCTGATTGATCCATATGTCTTTATTGCATAATCAAGGAGCAAAGAATAACTGATAGTGGTCAAAGAGGAACTTAGTCATTGGACTAATAAATAAAAGAAATGCAGAAGAAGGAGCCTCATCAATGTCCATTGAAGATTGATTGTATACTTCTTGAATATTATTGTTGAAATTTGAGTATTTGAGTGCAGTTTATGCAATAAAATACTTTTTCCATATGTTTTATTAGTCTGGGGTCTGGATACTAATTATGAGCAAGCTATGTAAAAATTTTAGAGTTGTGACTTGTAAGAATTTTAGGTGAGCTTGTTGTATAAGTTATTGGGACTGTAATTGGACTTTCATAGTGGGAAAATCTCTTGAGCGTTTCTCAAGAGGACTGGACGTAGGTCAGGGGACCGAACCAGGATAATTTTTATGGTGTCCAAATCTCTCTTCCTTTGTCTCTAATTTATTAGCGACCTATGTTTAGTTACTTGTTCATCTCGCATATAAACACTATCATAGTGTTTTAAATTTAATCAAAATATTATGTGAAACTTCAAGTAAATAGAAATATTACTTACTAGCCAAAAAAGATAGAAATATTACTTATAAAGAACCTATGTTATTTCAACCAATAATTTTTTTGGTAGATTGCAGACTAAAAATTCATAAAAAATGAATTTAAATTTTATATTTAGATTCAAAGAGAGTATAAGGTATTTAGTCTTATTGCATAAGTTCATATGGGCTTGGGTCCAAATTTTTGAAAGGAGCTAGCAGAATGCCAGCCTACAAGAGGCACAAACCCAACCAAAGTGACCCAACCACATTTTTCAATGTTTCCCACACTGCTTTTTTTTTTTTTTTTTAATCACCCTGAAAGTTCAGGAAATTCAAGGAAATCTGCAGAACAAGAACTCCAAGGCCTAATTACACATTGCATTATCATCACCTCATATAAAGTACATGCCCAATCCAAATAGTCAAATAACTATTTCCTAAAGTTGTATGATAAAGACAACTAAGTACTAAGGGTACAAATATCTAAATTTTTTATATTTAGATACTTTAGGAACACATACAAGATTCGTAACCATAAAAAGGATAATGATAACCTTACCATTAACTACTTCATTTATGAATTTCATAGGAATAGAATAGTCCCTTATAAAGTAATGAATCAATGTTCAAGATTTCGTTGAAAGATATGCTTATATTTAATACCTAATAGTATTTTGAACAAAATTTCCTTAGGAAAAAAAGATATATGTACTTAGCAAAACAAATATTCACAAAGAGATTAAGAGTTCAAATAAGCCACACCAACACATCATATGTTATAACTTCCGAAGGAATAAGTGTCTCATCCCCTAACATAAACAACAGAAAATAATCGTCCTAATTAGTATAATATATATATATATATCATAGACCAAAATAATTAATAGCATCTCACTTAATAACATTTACTATAATCCGCATAGACTAATCATCCCAGTGATATATATGATCATCCTGATCTCTATTTTCAATCAAATATCTACTCTGTTGCTTGTGATATTTTGATACGTGGTGTAAATGTACTATATACAGATATGTCCATACAGTACAGAGAGAGACAGAAATTCAGATAAAGAAAGGAAAAAAAAAAAATAGATGAGAGGAAGGAAGGTGGGGGAGGAGAAAAAAAGAAAGGAATAAAGCGGTGGGGTAGGTGAATCAAAAGAATATGGATGAAATGTTGAATCTTTAGGGGACAAAGCACCAACACGTTATGTGCCTTAGTGGAACTCTCCCATACTTACCAAAGAGGATATGCCTTATTAAATCCTTTTGCCTTTTTTCTCATTATCAACATGCACCAATCAATAAATGAATGAGCAAATCAACTTATTAAAATTTATAAACCTTAAAAAGAAGAAAATAATTTAAAAACTTTATACTTACCCATAGTATTAGAACTCAACCCAGGTCAAACAATCAAACCACTAAATTAATGAACTAGTCCTCTAATCAATTTGATCAAGAATTTTGACTAGGTCAACCGATTTAAATTTTATATTTTTTTCCATCTTTTTTAGACCTGAAACAACATTGTTATGATGAGTTAAAAAAATTGTCCATATAATTTATGCTTTGATAACTACTTTATTGGATTATATGGGGTATATAAAATTATATTTTATTTACCTATAAATTAATACGTTTTTAATTAAATAATACTCTTACAATTATGTAGATGGAGTTTTTATATATTTGAATCAAATTTATATTATTTTAATCTTAATTAGGCTGATTCAGACTTCAACCACAATTAAATCGCCAATCCCTCAATTACTATCTTTTAATGATCGAATGACTTTGTGTCAATTTGAACTTTTGTGCAACACTTTGTTTAACATTTGGCTATAAAAGATTCCCTTGTTGCTTCATTTATATAATCAATCTCATTAATTATGATGCTCAAATGGCAACACCGCCAACCCCAAATCTTATCCTTGTCTCACCAAAAAAAAAAACTTCTTGTGATCCATTATTGTTGTGTTTTTTTAACCATCACCACCCATTTTGTGCATTTAATGTTAAATTATAATAACTATAAAAGTTCATATCATAATCATACTTTTTGGGGTTTTTGGTTGAATCATATTGGAAATATTTCAATCGTTTATCTCCATCTGTTGATCCTGTTGAAGTGATGTGATGGATCAAAGTAGATAGTACAAATATTTTTTGTAGGATTAAGCATAGATGTCATGGCGTGCATTGGATTATATATAAATAAATTTTCACTTCTAACAAGAAATTACAAGTATATTTTATTTTTTCCCTTAACTTCCCATTAAAAAATATCATCCAATATATTTTACGCATAGATTTTTATACCAAGATATCATACACTGAGAGTCCGTATTAAGGTACTTCAAACAAATTATTAAACTAATCAAGATAATAGTTTAAAAGTCAATAATCTAACTACAATTGAACCGGCATCAATTCAATCATAATTAAAATGTTCTACTTTAATTGAAATATACGCAAATATTAACATATAATCCTGGGGGCCAAACTGGAAAGAGGAGTATTTAAATGAGAAGACATTGATCTATAAGTAAATGAAACATTCATATATAAACCACATAATCCAACAAAACAAAGTTGTTGAAGTATGAATGTGATGAGTTATTATTTTTTTAATTCAAGATGGCATTGTTTTAGACATTGCAATGACAAAAAAAATCCTCTATAATCTTATTTATAAATCACTTCTAACATGTTTTACACAAACCAAGAAAAATCTTAAATTTCATTAACTTTCATATAAAACTAAACAAATTTTCAACTTTATCCCTATTTAATATATTTTATGTAAATAAAATTAACATAATAATACATGAAGGGTAAAATTATATATCCATATAAAAAATTTCTCTCAGTATCCTATAAATAAGATCAAAAAAAATTTTCTCTCCTCCATAAATAGGACTAGAGGAGGATTAAGTTTAACCCACTTGACTCGTTTAATACTCTTAATCAGATTGGTCAAAGGACTAAAGCAACTTGGATTTTTCTCACCAAGATATGCTAGTCAATATTGGATGCTTTGTTACCAATACACACATATATAATTTAATTATTCTATTTGTTATGTTTTTAGTTATTTATGGATTGATCCCTGAAAGGATTATCATATCATTAACCATTAATTTTGTGTGTCACTAGCATATAATGGAACCCAAAATGGTGGGTAGGGCGGTGAGAGAGTGATTTGATGGCCCATTTGGGGGGACTACTTTTTCATCCTCTCACTATGAGCCACGTCGCCCACTTTGATGAAAAAGAAAATCGATTGCTTTCTCAATTTGAAAGCTTTTTTCGCGTTGGATATTGTCAGTGTAATAAAGTATTAAATATTTAAAAAAAATAAATGACAATAATCACCGCATGTCTTATATCACAAGTCATAATTGGTTGCATGAACAATAACCAAATTTTTGAATAAATTTTTAACCAAAATATTTCCCTGAATAATTTTAATAAACGATTTTTTTTTAAATTTCCTTCATCAACGAGTGAGTTTAAGAAAAAAGTTTATAAATATAAGAGGTAAAACATATTAAAGTTTTATATTTATGATGAAACAAATCTCTATATTAATTCCTATATG